GTGTGTGTGTGTGTTTTGCTAGAGGGTTTGTGTGCTCTTCAGAGGGAGAAAGCAACTCCCATGGGGCCAAGTCAAGCCACAATCTCTTCGTTTTCATCTCTCCTTTTTTTCTGAATTTTGAGCACACAGGCACATATGTACCTTGCATATTTCTCAAGTTGCTGGGTCTGGACTAGAACCTCACCAGCAGCCATGTGGGGTCCAGCCACCTTAACCGCCATGCCTTAAGTTGGCCCATATTGTTTTTATTTATTTATTTATTTATTTAAAGAATTATTTATTTAATCTTATTTTATTCTATATATTATCAGAATTACTTTTACATTTGCTGTAGGGCACATGCATTCACCAGAAAGAGATAGCGAGAGAAAGAGAGGGAAAGTGAGCAAGCAGGTCTGGGGCTCAAACCACAGTTGCCCATGTGCGAGTCCAGCCACCTGCTGGCCTAACTCACATTGGGTTATAAAAGAACCACTCTGGTTGCCTTCCCAGAATGAACCATGTGTGTGTGTGGTCAGGTGTGTGCGTGCAGCGATGATAGCAGGGTAAAAGAAGGGAGAACAGTTAGGAGGTCTCTGTAGCAATCCAGGTGAGATAGGAGGATAATTTTGAACAGGAAAGAAACAATGGGTGTAGGTGAAAATAGGCAAGTTCTGGATTTTTTTTTTTTTTGGAGAGGTTTTCACTATAGGGTGCGTGCGCTCGCCAGACAGACAGAGAGAGACATAGAGACAGAAAGCGAGAAATCACCCCCCAGGGGGGATGGTCACGCCGCAATCCCTTCTCCTCCATTCTCCTCTCGGGATCTTGGGCACGCATGCACACGTGCCCGGCGTGAGTTTTAAGCCACCGGGTCCGGGACGTGAACCACGGTCGACTACGTGGGCGTCCAGCGACATAGTCATTACGCTAACTGCTGGTTTCCAAGTTCTGGATATTTTTGAGAGTGAAATTCACAGGAGTTACTGATGGATAGGCTGAAGAGCAGGGGGGAAAGAGAGATGCCAAGAATCACTACGAGGTTTTGAGCCTGAGCAACAAGAGTGATGAAGATGTCATTGATATAATTGTGGAAGGCTGTAAGTGGCACAGGGTTGGATGGAAAGATCGGAGCTGTCACACATTGAAGTGCAGAGGTAGAGTAGGCAGGTGGATAGATGAGTATGGAATTCAGGAGAGATATCAGACACAAAGATAAAGAAATAGGCATCCACAGCATATAGATGGTATCGAGTCATGAGAGTACATGAGATAGTCAAGGTGGAGTGTAGTTCCAGCAGAGGATAGCCTGAACCTTGGGGCACTTCAATCAGGGTGAAGAGGAACAAACAGCAAAGGAGACCAAGAAGGAATGCCCAGTGAAATATGGCAAAAATCTGAGTCCAGAGTATTCTGAAAACCCATAAGGAAAGGGTATTTAAGGAGAAGAAAATTATCAAACATATCCTGCTAATAGGGAAAGTAAGTTAGGACCAAGAACTGGTTGATTGGTAAAACAGAGGTCATTGATAGTGTTGACAAGGCTGCTTTGGGTACTCTGGCAAGAACAAAGGCCGAATGGAATGGGTATAAGAAAGAATGGGGAAAAGGAATTGAAGACAGTAAGTACTTACAACTCTTGAATTTTTGAAAAACGGAACAAAAAATATAGTGATATCCAGTGGGAGAATTGGAATCTAGAGAAGGTGTTTTTTGTTTTGTTTTGTTTATCTGTTTGTTTCGTTGCTTTTTCTTTAGGTGATAAAAAATGAAGTGTTTGTATTCTAATGTAAATAGTCTAGTGTAGAGACAATGTTTGATGTAGTAGGTTATAGGTGAGGAGGGGACATTGCCAGGTGATGTTCTTGGGAAGTTAAGGATGGGTTCTAGTGTAAATGTGAAGAGCCATTCCCTGGATGAGATGATATGAGAGTCATCTCTGATAACAATGGGTAGCCAGAGTAGTTAGGTACAGGGACTAACAGTGGGTTAGGTATGGTAGAGGATGAAAGATGACAGGGATGGTAAAAAGGGGTGGACAGAGACAAGTAAAGGAGGAAAAGAGCTAAAACTCACACAGCCTTTTCTATGGGCACTATTTAAACAATTTACTGCTATTCGTCGTTTAATGCGATATAGCCCTACTCTAGGTATTATTTCTATTTTACTGTTATTTTATAGATAAGGAAACTTAGGCAAAGAGATGTTAAGTATTTTAGCCAACGTGCCCTAGTTAGGAAGAGACAGTTAGGATCTGAACTTATGCAAACTCACTCTAAGTTACGTCTGCCAAGACTTTGTCATAGTTTTTCTCTGGGAGAAGAACTTCAGGTATGGAATTGCCAGAACTTGGCTACCCGAATATGAGGAACAAAGAAGTTTGGATGAGTCATGAGAAGATGTTTTGCTTTTTCCTTATGTGGTGTATTAACTGAAATGCTTCTTGCAGAGTATCTGTACACACCAGCTGAACAATGGCAAAAGACAGGACTTAAATTAGGATTGGTTATCTAGAGGGCCTCCCTTGTTCTTGTCATCTAGAAGCAGATAATTTATGGTAATTGTTTTGTACATATAGTATACTATCACTAAAACTTTTGATGTATAGATTAAAATTTTTAATTGTCCGAGGACACATGTGCTTGGCAGAAAAAGAGAGAGTAGAGAAAACAACCCTCAATGGGGCATGGTCATGCTACAGTACTTTTTGCTTCATTTCTCTATCCTGTCAGGATTTTGGGCACACGTGCACATACACTTAATATGTTTTAAAATCAACAAAAGCTAGGGTTTGAGCCATGGTCAGCCATTTGGGATCTGACTCCTTTAACCACTAGGCTATGGGGCTAGCCCATGTACAGACTATCTTTTAAAGATAGCCTGTATTTTATTATAATAAACATATATACTTGTTAAAGAAAATAAACTATCTATCTATCTATATCTCTCTATATATTTTTAAGTTGTAAGTACTCCATTGGGCCACAATTAAGAGATAATCACCGGGACCAGCAATTGGCATAATGGCTATGTTGCTGGATTCTTATGTAGTCAACTGAGGTTCAAGTCCTGGACCCGGTGGCTTAAACTAACGCTGGGCATGTGGAGGAGAGTGCATGCATGCCCAAGATCCCGAGAAGAGAATGGAGGAGAAGGGATTGTGGTGTGGTCATCCCCTCTGGGGGGTGATTTTTCACTTTCTGTCTCTCTGTCTCTCTTTGTCTTTCTGGCAAGCACAAGTGTCCTATAGCAAAAACCTCTCAAAAAAAAAAATAAAAAGATAATCACCATTAACATTTAGATGCTTCTTTCAGGTGTCAGAATGTATCCAAGTGCGTGTTTTCAATTTTTGAAAATCAGAATTTATGCTCACACAACAACACAGCTTTAAAACGTATATTCTGAATCTCACAAGTTTATTTGACACAAATGTATTAAATATGTTAAACACATGGCATTACACAAAGGTAGTAAACTTGAATTTAGTCTAAAGTAGGAACTACTATGAATTAAAATCTAAAATGTTTTCTTTTGTAGCAATGTTTCTGATGTGGATGTTGTTACTTTACTTCTAACATTAATCTAAATCAATGATTTTAAACTAAATTAAATATTTACTATCTCTGATCACTTTAGATTTAGACGTATGATAACATAACCAAAAAAAGGTAAGGTGATTCAAAAATTTGCTATTGATAATGACAGGGACTTTTTAAAAATTTATTCGTTTTGAAGTTCTTAAACCAAGATATAAAGTGCTAATTTTTTTTTATAATCTTCACACTTTGTAAAATATAAACATCAATTTAGTTGCACAATTTTTAAACACAAAGGCAAGCAAAATTTGAGTGTAACCTGTAAATGAAACTTTAGTAATTTCCATGAATACTTCACTTTGTATATTGTTTAAAAATGTGGGTAAAATAAGCAAGTGGTATAACTTACAGAATGAATGCAGGGAACCAGCAGTTAGCGTAATGGCTATGTCGCTGGACTCCCATGTAGTCGACCGTGGTTCACGTCCCGGACCCGGTGGCTTAAAACTCACGCCGGGCGCGTGTGCGTGCGTGCCCAAGATCCCGAGAGGAGAATGGAGGAGAAGGGATTGCGGCGTGACCATCCCCCCTGGGGGGTGATTTCTCGCTTTCTGTCTCTATGTCTCTGTCTGTCTGGTGAGCGCACGCGCCCTACAGTGAAAATCTCTCCAAAAAAAAAAAAAAGAATGAATGCAGAGCCTCACAGCACAAATTAATTATAGGGAGAGAACAAAGTTATGTCTTTTCATTTTAAGTTCTTGCCAATAACTAACACATAAAATGACACTTCTTGAGGGGTTTAATGTGCAAAGGGAGTAAATAGTCATTGCTCACATCCCTTAAAAATACTGAGAACACTTGTATTACAAATAACAATAAGAAGAATTAGAAATCTTATCAGTTGGATTACATATCTTCCATCTACACAGGAAGATAAAATATTCTCAGATAAGATGAAAATTATCCTGGAGTCACTTTTTGAGTAAAATTGTACATAGAAAAAAGTACAACTATATGAAATATGGAGAGTTTGATGGCTCTAAGCAAAAACTTAAAATCTATTAATACTCTCAACACACATGCAGTTCTTAAAAGCTGAAAAATGGTGCAGTACAGTTTTTAAGGAATGTTCATTATAAAGCATAGCATGTTGCAATAAATGTGGGATCTTAGTCCATTTTGATAATAGCCAATATTGCTTGTGTGTATTCTGGGAAGAAATGTTAATTATGGGGCAATAACGGGATCAACAAGAGCTTTTACGGTGGCCACCCCATTGCAGAGTAGGTTTGTTAGAGTGCTGTTTCTCAAATTAGTAGCATATTTCAGATAAAGAAAGGAAGTCGCCTTAACTTGAAACTGCTGTGTCATTTCTTCTTCCTTAACTGAAATTCCAACCAGGGTTCAGGAAATGCCCTAATGAGCCACTTCTCCTTTCTCTTTTCTTAAATAAGTGGATTCTTACTGGCCCAAACTATTCATTACTCATGATCAGATCGACTGCTTAGTTTGGTTGTCTCTTTTGGCAAGGTGCTTATATTATGGAAGAGGGATTATAATTTGGTGCTGTTTTTACAGGTGATGACACTGATAGAATCCAATCATTGCGGGTAGGTAACTAACCTGGCAGGTTAATTTTCTATACTCTAAACAAACTATGAAGACAAGTTTAATCAATACCTGTTTTACTTTGATATGTGTGGCTTGCTTGTAATTACGGTTTCATCTTGCATAATAACTAGGTATGAGGATGCTAGAGTAGCCAAGCTGTGATTTGCTATAATTTGGGTAAAATATAGTTGAAACTCTATCTATTAATGTCTTATTTTAATCAAGATGTAAAAATCACTGTTTTAGTTCATGATAACCAAGGCAATTTCTTCTTCCAGTAGAATATTCTCAGATATTTACTAAATTGGAACACGATTTAACATTTTATTGCCTCTTATATGTTATTTTATGGGTAAATGTTAATTTCTGTTTACATTCTAGCACTATTTTATTGGCTATTAAAGGTAAGAAAATATAAATTCTGTTTGCAACAGAAATAACAGCAGACAGTGCACTACCTACATCTTTTTCTACGGCTAAAAAAAAAAAAACAATTATGGAGATGTAGATCTAAACAGTTAGTGCAGGAGACGAGTATCCCAAAAGCAAGAACTTTTTCAATAATAGTCTTCAACTATAACAATGAAGAGTTGTAGTAGCAGAGATTTGAAGACTATGGGTATCTCTCCCTATCTCTCTCTAAATATATGTATATGTGTATGTGTGTTTTTTTTGTGTGTGTATGTTTATTTTTTTATATAAAATATAATCCCAAGCTTTCAATATTGTTCCAGAATGACTTATTTGGAAATAGACATTTTCAGAAAAAAGCAACACAAAATAAAAAATCCCAAAGATAATACTCCATTCATTTTCAGTAGCTTATTGGCAACTTATAGGCTAGAAATTTCATTTAACATTAAGAGGCTCTAAAATAACCTTCATGATTCTTCCCTGTTCAGAGACCATGTCAACAAAGCAAAGTGAAAGAGAATGTTGAGTTTTTTATCGTCATTTGGACAACTCTGCTTCACTTCTATTTTAGATGAATCTGAGTACTATACACTTTCAAGTAGCTTTTAAATTCATGTTAAAACTTTTACTCTTTTAGTGGAAACTACCTTAACAAGGCCAAACTACCTTAAATAGGCATTTTGAGAATAAAAAAAATATTTTAAGCTATAAAACAAATGGAATACATAAAATTTTCATGTTCTGTATTTATTTGGTTTGGGTTATTATGACTTCGGGGGGAATTTTCAGTTTCATTGCAAAGCAGTATAATAGTTTAATGTATGAATATATTTTGTTGAACTGAAACTTAGAGATGATGTCAAAACTGAGACAAGCTGAAAAATGTTTCTACAACGTCAGCTTAACTTTAATGTGGGCCAAGACTTTGTTTTATGTCCTAGGTAGCCAAGGTATATACAAGATGTTTAAATATGATGCTAATTTTTAGCATAAGTGAACTTTTCAGAAATAGCCATTACCACAGTGGAAGTAGAAAATAATTTTGAAAAGAGTGGTTTGAAAGTCAGAAAGGAGAAATAAGGGAAGGAGAAACTGAAAGAGATATTCTTACACAATTGTTTCAAATTAACTAATAACATAAGATTCAAGTAGAATCATGATGGATATCGATAAAGTAATAAACATACATGCAGAAATGCAATAATTTAATTTTAAATAAACTACCTATCTGAAATCAATTAGGCATTCCAGATTCTTCACGGAAATAAACTAACAGTAAAAAATATTGGATTAAGAAATGAGGTGATAGACCCAGAATGGTGATGTTGCCAAACGTCAGATTACTATATTCGATTACTTTGCAACAAAACAAAACAAAAATATGGTGCAAAATATGGTCCCTGCTCAGGTTTTGCCGGGGATGTTACTATGATCAGGGAGAAGAGTCTGTAAGGGTCAGAGCAGTAGAAATAACAAGCATCTACTAAAACATAACCACTAAAGAGAGAGGGTAAAAGTAGTCTCTTAGGGAATTAAAAAAAAAAAAAAAACAACTACAAGAAAGTAACGTGAAAAACTTTTGGTTTATCTTGCAGAGTTGCTAATTATCAGCCATTTAAGGAATCTGTTGGGTTCAGTTGCATTTGGCGATACATAGAAATTTGGCAGACATTACTTCATCTATGAGAGCTTAGTTAAAAATAGATGATTTTGTGATTCCATTAAATTCTACTTATATAATAGATAGTTATAAGATCTCCTCAGATGAACAGAATACATTTTTTATATTTATTTTTTATTCTGGAGAGTTTGTTGTTGTTGTTGTTATAGAGCGTGTGCACTTGCCAGAGAGACAGAGAGAGACAGAGAGACAGATAGTGAGAAATCACCCCCCAGAGGGCATGGCCACGCCACAATCCCTTCTTCTCCATTTTCCTCTAGGATCTTGGGCACACACGCACATGTGTCCAGCGTGAGTTTAAGCCACCAGGTCCTGGACTTGAACCTTGGTCAACTCCATGAGAGTTCAGCGACATAATCTTTACACCAACTCCTGGTCCCCAGAATGGATTTTTAAGAATTGGATTGGTCAAAGAGAGAAAGCTCTGGTTCCCATGTTTTCACTTGATCTCAGAGAGGAAGGTTGAGCCTGATGATCTTAAAGACTTAATGAGGTCTTTTTAATATTTTCATGTTGGAAATAAGAGGTAAGAGTTTGTAAATAGATCTGAAAGAGGCAATAGAAGGGAAGGTGTCTTGGAAATAGAAGAAGAGTTTTAATAAGCATACTCATATGCCTTTATATTCATTCCTAAGAGTTACAAAGGAAGAATATTTCCAAATTACCTCTCATATTTCTTGAAACACCTTCCTTATTTTGCCTACTAGAACAGACTGTGGCTCATTTCCTACTTTTTACATTGGCCCAGGAAATCTTTTTATTCCTCACTTTATTCCTTCTGTATTTCTCCCTTGTGCAAAACAAACATGCTTCTGATGCTCAGTTTCCTTAGATATATCTCTACCCAAAGAAGAACGTGATCCAGAATTCTATTCAATCAAATCTAAAGAGACTCAAAAATTACATGGATAAATGGAATTAAAGTACAAATTTATTTTGATGCAAAATATTTTTTTTTTTTTTGGAGAGGTTTTTGCTGTAGGGCACATGTGCTTGCCAGACAGACAGAGAGAGACATAGAGACAGAAAGCGAGAAATCACCCCCCAGGGGGGATGGTCACACCGCAATCCCTTCTCCATTCTCCTCTCAGGATCTTGGGCACGCACGCACACGTGCCCGGTGTAAGTTTTAAGCCACCGGGTCCGGGATGTGAACTGCAGTTGACTACGTGGGAGTCCAGCGACATAGCCATTATGCTAACTGCTGGTTCCCAATGTAAAATAATTTTGAAATATATGCCAGATTTTTTCATTATAAAAATTTTCTGTGAACTTTTCGAAAACCCCTTATGTTTGGTTGTAACTTCTTTCCAAATTTGCCAGTACTTATTCTATCAAGCCTCATTTCTCCACACTTCCGAATTTAGACCAGTACCTACTACACCAAGTGTGGTTTGTCTATAGGCAGGTAATGATATCTACTAGTGTATGCAGGAAT